AATGTTTCAAAAGTTACAGCAACAAAAGACAGTAAGATATTGACAACAATGACCACATAATTTTGTGGAAATTGATGGCATATCAAGGACAATAAAGGGATGCAATGTTTCAATAGTTACAGAAACAGGAAGATGTGGATAGCAGTGGCTTCATATTTTTGTGGTAATTGGTGGCATAACAAGGACAATAAATGTATGGCAAGATTTCAAAAGTTAAAGCAGCAAAAGACAGGAAGATGAGGAGGGCAATGACCACATAAGTTTGTGTTAATTGTGGCATAACAAGGACAATAAATGTTTCAGTTACATCAACAAAAGACAGGAAGATGTTGATAACAATGGTCACTCGGATACGATTTTATATGCCGCATTTTACCGCATATAATACGCACCTTTCCGAAAAATGACTGGAAAAAAACTTCCCTGCATCTTATGTATGAAGATGAAATTTTCCAGGGGTTAATTTTAACCACAATCTTCCTTACCGTCGGTTATAATTTTACCTCATGCGGTTGCTTTTACCTGACAAGACTTCATACGGACATCATTCCCATGAAAATATTATTATTATTATTATTGCTGTTATTGTTGTAGTTGTTATAATTTTTTATTTATTTCAGAGCCCAAAATGTTCAGAAATGGCACGATAATATCTGCCACCGAATGTTTTTTATAAAAATAAAAATTGTACTTTTTGAATTTCCTTAAGGCATGGACTTCCAGGAATCCCCACTTCAGTGAGACTATCAGAACTTTTTCCAATCAAACCCAAGGCCCCATTTTTATTAATGCCGACATTTTTTTTTACATAAACCCTTGTATCTAGGCTGCTTTTAGTTATTTTTATATTTTAAAATTTATATTTTTGAGATCAGTTTAATTTCTCTGAGAAACTGGAATATATAAAGTGGATCAGTATTTTGAAAACGTTCTTTTACATTCTCTTTGAATATTTTTTTTGAAAAATTTCTCAGAGTTAACCCGTAGAAAAAGACAATATTTATAAATGTAAAAGACAATAGGAAAACTGTAATAGTTGCCGACGCGTTTCGTCCAATGTGGTCTTTTTCAAAGCAAAAAACGAAATTGTTGCCTTTTACATTTATAAATATTTATTTTCATTTCATCAACTTTTTTGTGTGTTATTCCCTTCATATCTTAATTTGTTTTTAACTTCTTGATGTCCTTCTCCATTTTTATATATATATATTATTGGACTTTCATCATTATTCATCAGACTGAATTATTATTTATCATATCGATTTGTATTTTTACATTTTTGGTATTTTCATTTGTATTGAAAATTGTATTCATTTCTCTTTTCAGATTTTCTTTTTGAGTTACGCCTTTGTCAATCGTTTTGCTTTAATGATATTTTGTTAATTAACGTCTTTAATTTTCTTCTCCATATTCTGTAGACCTGACTTCTGTCGGTGCATTTTGAAGAATAGCGTTCAGCACGCATGTGCAATTTTTTTCGAGCAAAAAGCCACAAGAAATATAGGCGTACTGCACTACTAAAAACTTCATAGAAGGTTATACACATGGCACAGTGGATAAAGGCGTTGGTTAGATCCAGTGAGAGGACCCAAAGAGTGTGAGTTCAATACCCGATTAAGGCAGTGGAGAACTTTCGGAGGGAAATTAACAAGAGATAACTGACATCCATCAAACATGGCATGTGGAACTAGAACAGTCTACCCCGGTGAGCGAAATAAAGGGTTCAATTTGACATTCCGACCACTGCTGTAGCCTGGTATTGAACTCACAACTCTTTGCGTCTAGTTACTGGATCTAACCAACGGCTTTATCCACTGGGCCATGTGTCCTTGAAATAAACTAAGGAGCAAGCTGAATTTTAATTTGAGTATTTTAGATGGGTGACAGAACTAATTTCAACACGAGGATAATTTGCAGTTCAAGCCCAGCTCTCAGTTTCTACTAAAAATTTCCCATATAGTTCCATTTAATTGTAAATGTAGATGCTTAATTCGAAAATAACTAAGAAATTTTGATGAAAGCTATCGTTTTGAAGTTATCGACAATAAAAGTTCGGACTCATTCGCGTCGCGATGGGTGAAATTGAAATTAATTCTGTACCCCATAAAATATAGTTTCAACGTATGTTATGTTTATGAGTTGAAGTGTTTAATATCAGTGATAGAGCGTATGTAAATATAAAAGTGCATATTGAGGTCAATAACAAGGTCAGATGATTGCGTTTAACCATAAAGCAGACTGTCGTCGCTGGGTGTTGACATCAATGTCCACTTTCATATATATATATATATATATATATATATATATATATATATATATATATATATATATATATATATAAATATAAAGAGGTTATAGTTGGTCCAACGAGAGAAAAGTGTATATATTAAAAAGAAAAAAGAAACCGCAAACGTTTTTGCTTGGAATGTTGAAATGGATAAATTAAAAAATATATTTGATGATACGTTGCTTTCTGCAGGACGAGAAATATGCAGACTCTGATGTTACAAATTGAATCTACAGACGGTCAAGGATTATTCAGACCTTCCAATGTTTAGACAAAAAATATTGTACTCTAGGAATAATTACAGTAATCATAATTTTGGTTGTAAATATGTAACATTTATGAAGAAAATATACGGATATTTTTCCTTAGGTGTTTTTTTTTAAATTGTACTCAGTTCAATTGATAACGTTAACAACGAACTATTTTAAATTACAAAATTGTACTTGGATTAAACGAAAATTATTTACATTATAATACATATTAGTTAAAAATGGTGACAGAATTAATTTCAACACCAGCGTAATTTGCAGTTCAAGCCCAGCGCTCAGTTTCTAATCAAAATTACCCAAAATACTTCCATTTAGGTGTAAATGTAAATGCTTAATTAAAAAATAACAAAGAAATTTTGATAAAATCTACCCTTTTGGAGTTATCGACAATAAAGGTTCGGACTCATTCGCGTTGCGGTGGGTCAAATTGAAATTAATTCTGCACCCCTTTTAGATTGGTACAGGTTTACAGTAATCGATAGTAAAGCTTGATGTCAATACACGTACAATGATTAAAGGAGATAGGTTTCCTGCCTGTGTTCTATGGCATCCGCATTTAATAGTAAAGGAGGTAAGATTCCTGTCCGCGTTTTACGGCATCCGCGTCCTACGGAATCCGAGGTTTACTAGTAAAGGAGGTTGATTTCCTGCCTTCGTTCTACGGCATCCGCGTTTACTAGTAAAGGAAGCAGGTTTCCTGTCCGCATTCTACGGCATTCGCGTCCTACGGCATCCGCGTTTACTAGTAAAGGAGGTAGGTTTCATCCTGCGTTCTACGGTATCCGCGTCCGACGGCATCCGCGTTTACTAGTAAAAAAGGTAAGATTCCTGTTCGCGTTCTACGGCATCAGCGTCCTACGGCATCCGCGTTTACTAGTAAAGGAGGTTGGTTTCCTGCCTTCCTTCTACGGCATCCGCGTTTACTAGTAAAGGAGGTAGATTTCCTGTCCGCGTTCTGCGGCATCCGCGTCCTACGGCATCCGCGTTTACCAGTAAAGGAGGTAGGTTTCTTGTCTGCGTTCTACGGAAGCCGCGTTTACTAGTAAAGGAGGTAGGTTTCCTGCCCGCGTCCTACGGCATCCGCGTTTACCAGTAAAGGAGGTAGGTTTCCTGTCTGCGTTCTACGGCAACCGCGTTTACTAGTAAAGGAGGTATGTTTACTGTCTGCGTTCTACGGCATCCGCGTTTACCAGTAAAGGAGGTAAGTTTACTGTCTGCGTTCTACGGCATCCGCGTTTACCAGTAAAGGAGGTAGGTTTCCTGTCTGCGTTCTACGGCAGCCGCGTTTACCAGTAAAGGAGGTAGGTTTCCTGCCCGCGTCCTACGGCATCCGCGTTTAATATTAAAGAAGGTAGGTTTCCTGTCTGCGTTCTACGGCATCCGCGTTTAACAGTAAATGAGGTAGGTTTCCTGCACGCGTCCTACGGCATCCGCGTTTACTAGTAAAGGAGGTTGGTTTCTTGCCTGCGTCCTACGGCATCCAGGTTCACTAGTAAATAACCAAAAAAAAAATAAATAATATAAATGCAATCTGCAATGTAAGCTACAACTTTAAATAGGAGAAGAAAAAAAAACATAAGTATTTTTGGATAAACTCTTTTCCGCCATCGTCTTCTTAACCAGGCCCGGCGAAATCTTTATATTTCACTGGTTATTCCGTTTTCAATTTGTTTTCGATATTTGCTTTGTCCCGTTTCAAAACTCAGTCGCCATCACTACTTCCCCGTCACATTTCTGGCTGAGGAGGAACGGGGGATTGTTCAAGAGACAAACTGATGGTATTATATTTACGTCTTCGCAACAATTCGGTAGAGGAGGCGAAGGTGGTTGGGGTGGGCACGCAGAAATATTGATTTAACGCCCTTCCTCCTTTCTCTTCATACACGCTCCCACCAGGTTGCTGATTTAATTTTTCCCCCTTCTCCCATTTTCATCTTCTTCGTGTCCCCGATTCGCGCCTCAAGGGTCGACGAGAAAATAATAACAACTGGACAGCTGGAGGGGACGCAACTCATCCCAGAAAACAACAGGTTATTACAATGCAGCGTTAACTTCTGCGTTACGTCCTTCTTCCGGTTGACGTCAAATCTTTTGCCTCTTACGTCTCATCGCTTATTATTCTTTCATGGTTATTTCTTTCCGCCATTCTTTTAAAATATTTCTAGATTTTTCTTTTTCTATTTTCTCTTTTTTTCTTTCCTTTTTTCTTTTCTTCTGTCCTCCTTAATTTTCTTCTCTCTTTTTGCTTTATGCCTTCTGAAAAAATCTTATAAATTCCTTGCCACACATTATTTCTTCATTGTCTGTCTGTCTTCCTTTCTTTCTTTCTATCCTTCTCTCTTTCTTTCTTTCTTTCTTACCTTACTATTTTTCATTTAATTTTATTCGTGCCTTTTTCCTTTCCTCTTGATTTTCATAAATTTTTTCTACCACTTTCATTGTACATGGTTTTTTCTTTCTTCCTTTCTTTCTTTCTTCCTTTCTTTCTTCCTTTATTCCTTTCTTTCTTCCTTTCTTTCTTCCTTTCTTTCTTTCTTTCCTTCTTTCGTTGCTTGTTTCTTTCTTTCGTATCTTATTAGTTTCTTCTTGTTTTTTGGCATTTGATTTGCATGAATTTCTTCTACAACTTTCTTTTCATATTTTTTCTCTTGAGTTCATTCAATTTTCGTCTTGTTTTTTCTTTCTTATTTTTCAAAATTTATTCGATATCTTACGCGCTTTCTTTTACCTTTTCTTTCTTTTTCTTTATCTTCTTTTTCTTTTCGCTTTCGACCGACTTGACTATTCTACTTGCTTCATTTAATTTTCCTCTTGCTTTTTGTCCTCTGATCTCTCTAAATTTATTACACCTGCTTTCATCTTTCTTATTTCTCCCTCTTTCTTTCTTTCTTTCTTTCTTTCTAACTCCCTTCTTTCTTCCTCTCTTTCTTTCTTTCGTTGTTTTTCTTTCTTTCTTTCTTTCTTTCTTTCTAACTCCCTTCTTTCTTCCTCTCTTTCTTTCTTTCGTTGTTTCTCTTTCTTTCTTTCTTTCTTTCTTTCTTTTTTTTTTTCTTTTTTTCTTTTATAATTGGCGTATTATTCTTCCAAAGCCATTTATTTTTCTCCTTGTTTTTTTGTTTTGATTTTTCTAATTTTTTCTACTTCTTTCTTCCTATCTTTTTCTTTTTTTCATTTTTCTTTCTTTTCATTCTTTCTTTTCTAGCTTTCGTCTTTTCCCTTTTTTTTCTCTTTGCCTGTTTGTTTCTTTTCATTCTTTTTCATGTCTTTTTTTCTTTTTTTTGGGGGGGGGTCTATTTTCTTTATCTCTTTCTTTATTTCTTTCTTACTTCCTTTCTTTCTTGCTTTCTATATCGCTAAATATTCTTCTTAGTTTGTTTAATGTTTCCCTCTTGGTTTTTCCTTCTGATCTCTCATCGCTTTGTTTCTCTTTTCTTTCTATCTTTCTTTCATTCTTTCTTTCTTTTTCTTTCCTTCTTTTTCTTTCTATTTTCTTTATCTCATCCCTCTCTTTCTTTCTTTCTTTCTTTCTTTCTTTCTTTCTTTCTTTTCTTTCCTTCTTTTTCTTTCTATTTTCTTTATCTCATCCCTCTCTTTCTTTCTGTCTTTCTTTCTTTCTTTCTTTTTCTTTCCTTCTTTTTCTTTCTATTTTCTTTATCTCCTCCCACTCTTCCTTTCTTCTTTTCTTTCTTTTTCTTTCCTTCTTTTTCTTTCTATTTTCTTTATCTCATCCCTCTCTTTCTTTCTGTCTTTCTTTCTTTCTTTCTTTCTTTTTCTTTCCTTCTTTTTCTTTCTATTTTCTTTATCTCCTCCCACTCTTCCTTTCTTCTTTTCTTTCTTTCTCTTTTCTTCTTTTTCATTCTATTTTTTATCTCCTACCACTCTTCCTTTCTTCTTTTCTTTCTTTTCTTTCTTTCTTTTTCTTTCTATTTTCTTTATCTCATCCCTCTCTTTCTTTCTTTCTTTCTTTCTTTCTTTCTTATATACCCTGTTTATTTTTTTTTTCAGTTCCTTCTATGTTCTTCATTCAGTTTTCCCTTCCGTCCTATTTTCTTTATTTAATTCTTCAGCACTTTATTAATGTTTCTCTATTAATTGATTGATTCTCTTTGTTTTTTCATCTTTCCTCTCATTGCCGCTCTCTAAATATACCTTTTAATTTCTTTCGTTTTCTTTCTTTCTTTTTCTTTTCGCCATTTCTTTTCGCACCTCTACCCGTTTTTTCTCTTTTTATTTCCAACGCTCTTTCTCTTCGTTTTTTCCTCCCTTTACTCAATCCTCCTCCACTACTCACCCACTTCATCCTATTTCCATCGTTTAAACCACCGCCTCCCCCCTCACGACACCCCGAAGTATTTTCTCTTCGTAAAACTATTATTTCGAGATAATATTTTCATTACGTTTCATTGCCCATGTGACAGTACCAGGTGGGACATCTATAAGCTAGGCGTTTTTAGCTCCCTTTCTCTCTCCCTCTCCACTCTCTCTCCCTCTCTCTATCGATCCATCTCTCTCTCTCCCTCCTACTCTTTAGCTATTTCTATCCCACCCTCTATCTTTACTGCCAACACTCTCTTCCTCCCTCCACCCCATCATCTACTTCTCTTCCTCATATGATATTTCATGTCCACCTTACTCGTTTCAATATTGAACTATATTTCTATAGATTTTTTTTATAGACATTTTCATCTTCCGGTATGCTGAAATTGTTTTCAACAGACCCCAAAGTACCAACTAAATAGCAATTCGATCACAGAGATAATTATCGTATATTTATCATTATCTATATATTATATCATTGTTATATATCTATTTATCTTATTACATAAATATAATTAAAATATTTTTGTTCACTAAGAGAGAGCCCAGTGAAAAAACTGAATTCTCTCCCAAGTGCAGAACCGAAAATAATTTTTAACATTTCTTCATCTTTTAACTTCTGACTTCCGTTAAGCAATGCTATTCGTGGCATTTACAAATGAGAGATCTATTCAAATTTACTGTGGCTCTAATTTATATATTTTGAAATCTATATAAGGCTGACACACTAATTATTTTATAATTGGTTCCAAACCAAAATGATATTCCTACTGATGGAACCAAATGTATAAAACCGTAAATATTATAAGGATTGCAGCAGAAATCTGAAAGAAACCAATTCTTTGGATCTTTTTATGGCATATCAACATGTTCCTGGTTATTTCATGTCAAATTCTGTTGTTTTGAAATACGGCCCATATTTTCTCATGGTTTTTTTTTACTACATTTTTCTAGGCAATAATCCCAAAGATCTTGGAGATTGTGTAGTTCTCATTGAAACACCTGTTTCTTTGGTTCCCACTACAATGTTTCAATTATATTGAGATCTGGAATTTGTGCTGAGCAGACTTTCAAATGTCAAACATCTTCATCCACAATAAATATTTTTATTGCATGTGATGTATGGTAAGGATCATCATCATGCTGTGAAGATTCTTCATATTTGTAATCTGGCAAAGGATTAAACCGTAGTAATCTAATCTAATTTTTGCTATATAGGTTTCCATCAACATTCTAACCACTTGGCCATGTATGCATAAATGTTAGACAAAATGGAAAAATTTCATACATCACATTCCAAAATGACCCTGATGAAACCATATGCATAAAACCGTAAATATTATTATAAGGATTACATCTAAAAGGAAGCATTTCTTTGGATGTTTTATTTTTTATGGTATATCAACCTTTTCCAGGTTATTTCATACCAAAGTCTAATGTTTTGATACAAGGCCCATATTTTCTCATGTTTTTTTTTCTCATTTTTTTTCCTAGGTAATAATTCCAAAGATCTTGGAGATTCTGTGGTTGTACAACAGTGCTCTGTATGCATTTTTTACCAAAGTCTGGGGTTGGTTCGGAAAAAGCCTTTACTACTATAATCAAAATATGCAGGTTTTCTGATTGTTCGCTTCTAAAAACTGAGCTTGACCCTCATATATCAAAAACAGGAGAGTCCATATTTTTACCATTAGAGATGATGAGAAACAGATACTACATTTTGATCCCAGTTCAACGGCCAGGGTACGAAGAAAAGTGTAACTCGAGTCTCATTGAATGCCGAATGTTACCTTATAAGGAAAAAGCTAATATGAACATTATCATTAGAGATTATGAGAAACATATACTACATTTTGATCGCAGTTCAATGGCCAAGATATAAAAAAAGTAGCTCGAGTCCTAGTGTCTCATCGAATGCCGAATGTTTCCTTATAAGGAAACGGCTAATATTAACATTACCATTAGAGATGAGGAGAACTGATTCTAAAATTTGATCCTAGTCTGATGGGACTGGAAGAACAAAAGTTTAACTCGAGTAGCACTGAATGCTCGAAATACCGAAAGTTTCCTCATAAGGAAACAGCTAATATCACCATTACCATTACCAAATCTATTCATATGCCCTTTATTCCTGATTTTGTCAAAATGCTCGAATATTCGCTATTTTTTTTGGCATGCGCTAGTTTTGGTTGCATCATTCGGACTCCAAGAATGAAGTATTTCAATTAAATTTCAATTTAAAATCTTAACCAGTACTTTGGCTAAAGACCAAAGAATGATGATTTGGGTGTTAAGATCATGTAAACAGGAATAGGTTGAATGAAATATTCATTCAAAATTGAATTGAAAAGAAATTATGTTCAAGCAATTATGGCGCGAAGGCGTTTAGCATTTTGAGGGTGCATGGACTTTAAAATTCTTTGCAAGAACTGTATTAATACCTTTTGAATTGGATATCATTTTTGTAAATTCCCTTCAGAAAAAAAACGTAAGAGATATTTGGGGTAAACTTTTAATTACATGTCAAAATAAGCTGATAGGAACAAGTGGGAATATATTTATTCGTCAGTTTGATAATGTATGGATAAATACGAGGGAAGGAAGGGTGGAGGACAGTCAGATAGGAAGGAAGGAAGGAAGGAAGGAAGGAAGGAAGGAAGGAAGACAGACAGACAGACAGACAGACAGATAGATATGAAGGAAGGAAGGAAGGAAGGAAGGAAGGAAGGAAGGAAGGAAGGAAGGAAGGAAGGAAGACAGACAGACAGACAGATAGATATGAAGGAAGGAAGGAAGGAAGGAAGGAAGGAAGGAAGACAGACAGACAGACAGACAGACAGACAGATAGATATGAAGGAAGGAAGGAAGGGGAAGAAGGACAGACAGACAGATAGGAAGGAAGGAAGAAGGAAGGAAGACAGAAGATAGAAGGAGGAAGGAAGGAAGACAGACAGACAGACAGACAGATAGATATGAAGGAAGGAAGGAAGGAAGGAAGGAAGGAAGACAGACAGACAGACAGATAGATATGAAGGAAGGAAGGAAGGAAGGAAGGAAAGAAGGAAGGAAGGAAGGAAGGAAGGAAGGAAGGAAGGAAGGAAGACAGACAGACAGACAGACAGACAGATAGATATGAAGGAAGGAAGGAAGGAAGGAAGACAGACAGACAGACAGATAGATATGAAGGAAGGAAGGAAGGAAGGAAGGAAGGAAGGGAGATAGAGAGACAGTTTGTCGCACATGAAATGAACTTTAAAGAAAATGAATAAAACGCTTCTGAAATGTTAAATAACTAATTTATTTAGTTGAAATTGGCGCCATGTTGATTAATGACTATTAACTATCCAACGTAACTCTAAATTCTTGATCCCATCTTTAAAAAAATTCTCATCCTTTAATGTGATAAACAGTTCAAATGCTTCGATTACCTCTTCGTTATTGGAGAATGTTTTATTGCGTATGAAAAGCTCAAAATGCTTGAATAAGTGATAATCAATAGGAGAGAAATCAGATGAATATGGAGGATGAGACAATATTTCAAAATTCAGGCGATGCAGATTTTGGACCCTTGATTGAGAAACATGCATCCGTGTGTTTTTATGCAGCAAAATTGGGCCGTCCCTATTCACATGTCTAGGATGAAAAAAATTCTTGAAAGTAAAGGTTTCAGGAATAATCAAGATTTTTTTTTATATACTAATGAGGTTGCTTCGTTAGACGACCGGAAGTACAACCAACCAAAATTGGGCCGTCTCTATTCACATTTCTAGGATGTTTCTTTTTCAATTATTCGTGCATAATCTCAGTTTCTCCACAATACGCGGTTGCTGTTATTTTTTACCCTTGAGGTAAGAATGAATAAAGACCACACACATGGTAACCATTAGGATGAAGAGAAGGTTTTGCTTATTGTTTTGGTGATTCACTTGTAACTAAGTAAAGGCTTACCCTCTTACTGTTGTCAAAGAATATCCATTTCTCATCGCATGTAATGATTCGATGCATAAATAGTCCTTTTCTCAGTTCGTATTCACACAGTAAGATTATATGACATTGTTTCATTGTAATCATTTTCATTAGGCTTATGAGTAACAATATACTGAAAAAAATTCTTGAAAGCAAAGGTTTCAGGAATAAGTCAAGATTTTTTTTTATATACTAATGAGGTTGCTTCGTTAGACGACCGGAAGTACAACCAACCAAAAAAATGTGTCATTTCATAAGTAACAAATTAACATTTTACATTTTTAACATATATATATAATCATAGTAATTCATCGAGTCTAGAAAAATCCTCAACAGGCCGCTTCGCCCTATTTTGGGGTTCATCAGCGGTGCGCATCCACTACCGAGATTCGAAACCGGACCGTTTCGATACAAGACAAGCGTCATACCAAGGTCCTCGGTAAGGAAGAAGAAACTGAATAGACTCGATATATATATATATATATATATATATATATATATATATATATGTGGATTTTCTTGGGAATATAATGAGGCAAGAATGCTTAGAAAAGTCACATTCACAGAACTTACGTGATGTGGAAAATATTCAGTAACCTACTTAAAGATTCTGTACATAAGAATGTCAGGAAAGAACAAATAATGGTAAAGAGCGACAACGGGAAGATGTGAAGAGCCATGATCACAAGCGTCTTGAAGGATCACGACATATAAAAGAAGATACAGTTACTTTACATTATTTAGGGTATTACTCTCATTGTCATATTCATAAATTT